CTTGTGTCTGAGGCAGGAAACATAGCCTTATATGGTGTTTTTGGGGTGGTAATTATGCTAATCTCTTCTCGCGTGCACGAGCTGCTGGATACGAACAGGTGGAATTCACGCAGCTCATTTACACACTTTTCCTGAAGATAGAAGAGTTTGTTGAATCTGGCGTGACATGTTCGTACGAAGGGTTCGTACGAACAAAAGTAAGAGAAATTTAGGATAAGAATACGAACATGTTCTTGCATGAGGCCCATTGGATCCAGTTTAGTTCCACATGTGAAAACCTGGTTCAGATTAGAAACACGTTCAGACCATCATAAAAMCAAATCTAATATGGTTTGAATTTAGGCCACTTTTGCCTGCAGTGTGAAAGTAGCCCAGGGGTGTTCAATCCTGCTGAGAACACCGTCCTCACAGTGAAGCATGGTGGTGGCAGCGTCATGCTGTGGGGTTGTTTTCATWTTTCTTTTCTCCTTACTCTCCCCGCAGCAAGCCTTCAACGCCACCGCCGTGGTGCGYCACATGAGGCGCCTGCAACTCAGCAGCAGCATGGGCAGCAGCACGGACGCCTCCAACCCGAGGTCCGGTCAGACGCAGAGGCCAGCCCAAAACCAGAACCAGGCGGGTCAGAACCAAAGCAGCAGCCAGGCGGGACAGAGCCAGACTCCCAACACTGGCAGCAAAAKCTCTGCCGTGGACAACAACATGACCGCCCCCCGCAAAGAATGTGAGTGACAGGAACAGTGCTGCAGTAAAACGTGCTGACTTTTTTAAAAATATTAGTCTTATTTGTTTGCTAAGAGCCAATTATATATATATATTTTTTTCAGGTGTTCCTGCACCCGTCACCCCCTGCAGTCTGGCCTCTGCGGCATCATCCACYGCCACCGGGACAGAACAGAACCGGCCCCACCCCCCGGCGGTGCCGGCCCTGATGATGACGGAGACCAAGTGACGCCAGGTCCCGCGGAGCACCAGCTGGGAGGCCACAGCGCTGTGAGGCGAGGAGAGACGGGAAAGAGACGAAGGACCAGCGGAGAGGAGGAGGAGGAGGACTGGATTCTTCCTCGCCACTCTTCCAATGCATTCTCTCTTGGATGTGCCCCCGCCCCCCTCCTCAACTGGTGCCCCGCCCTGCTTCTGTGAGCAGAGGACTGTACCCCACTTCACCCCCCACCCGGACAGCAGAGCACCCGCCGATTCTCTCTATTTCGAGGTGCAGACGATGGATCTGATGACATCATAACCTCCATCAGTCAAGTTTCTCNTCAAGTTTCTCTCGTGGATCTGGTCCCCCACCCCCCCCACACCCCCCACGACTGTTGGATGTTTTTATTTTTTTATTCTCGTTTTAAAGGCGTCGTGTTTCAAAAACAAGCTGATGAAGCCACTCCAGTAGAGTTACTGTAAATAAGCCATAACSAAGAGGATGGAGTCGACTCATTGTAATTAACAGCTGAGCATTTCTCCAAATTTCCCACAGTCCCACTGAGTCATGCGTTTGCATCGTTCCCTGTTCTGAATGTCGATGCAAAATAGTCGTCTGTGTAAAGACCTCACTTGTTTACACCAATTTTTACCAACGCCGCAGACTAATTAGCTCAATTTAGTTTTTGTTTTCCCCCACTCTGCTTCTTTAACACCACGTTTGGCTCGTCTGCTTGCAGAAGTGCTTTAAAAAGTACCACTGTTGAAATGTGGGAACGTGCGTTAGCGCTTTATCTTTTTTGCACAGAGTCCGAGTTGTCGTCTCGGAGGAATCGACGTTGATCAGAGAGGAAAAAAGAGATTGTAAAGAAAAAAAACAATAGATGTCAAAGCATTGTGAAGCTTTTTAAATGTCAAAATGAGCTTTCTTTGGGCAGGTGGGAGGATGTTATTTTTTTTTTTTTACTTTGTATAATTTTTTGTAACAATCTCCCTTTAAGGGACACATACAGGTTATGATAAAATGCAGAGGAGGAAAAAGAAGCAGCGAGCTGTGTTGCCTCCAGAYGAGCGCGGGTTAGTAAAAATAAATCGTTATTAGACTTCCCTGCAGACGCCACACAAACCGTGCAAAATGGCGCCAAAGTGGCTGAGCGTTGTTGTTTTAGCGGTTTAAAGACTGTTGCCTGCTACTCCTCTGTAACGAAGCCATGATCTCACCTTCTTGTTCTTTTAAGCTGCACCCAGTCCAGACGTCCTCAGGGAAATCTGCAGCTGCACTGTGAGCTGGACAACACCAGCTTCCTGTTTGTTTGTTTGTTTGTTTGTTTGTTTGTTTGTTTGTTTGTTTGTTTGTTTGTTTGTTTGTTTGTTTGTTTGTTTGTTTGTTTGTTTGTTTGTTTGTTTGTTTGTTTGTTTGTTTGTTTGTTTGTTTGTTTGTTTGTTTGTTTGTTTGTTTGTTATTTCCTAATGTTCCAGGTGTGGTCACAGCTGGAAGGATTGAAGTGGGGTTCTGTTGAAAGGTTATGAACAGAAAATATCTCACCTGTTGTAGGTAGCTCTTTGATTGACCTCAGTTTGGAGACAAATGACGAGCTAACGGCTAGTCGAAGCTAAGTCCAACAAAAGACTGCTGCTGTCTTTAAAATAACTCCCCAAATTTTACAAAAGTTTTTGCAAACACTRTTTCATAAACTTTTAGATTACTGACAATTTCTCGTTAAGAGAAAAATTCCTTGGTTATTTGCAAGTGGTATTAGCATTAGCCTCAGCTAGCTGCACCTTGCCAGATTTCTCCAGGAATAGCTTCAAAATAACTAAGAACTAGGCATGAACTGCTCTGAAATTGAAAAATGAAAGTTGTGTAAAATCTTAACGGAGATTTTGACCATGTTGAAATGACTCCCACTCTCCTCATGCTATTTCATATTTTCATACCTCCATTAATTTGCTGTTCTGTGCTCCAGTTAGCTAACGTTGATGTTAATTKTAGAGACATGCATGAACCATGAAATCTGAACTTGGAGTTGTTTAAACACATTTATGTTAGCTGTTTGCATAAGAACAGGTCAGAATTCAGCTGTTTCTGTRAACTGAGGCTGTTAATAAAGCTATCTACAGCAGGTAAGATATTTACTGTTTACACAGAGCCGCACATCTTAATGTGCCGAGTTCTCMTCTCAGTAGTGATATGATATGAACTGTGAGGACTCTGATTATAAAAAGCTTATTTAGTTTTTAKAGTTTTATGAAATGGATGACTTCATAGCTTTGTCTCTCAGCTATAATAACTTCTTTCTCTTCATCTTTCTCTTTTTTTTTCTTCCTGTTTCTCATGAACTTTACTGAAACGTGACCTCTGGTGGTATTTGGCCTTTTAGTCCTGACTCTGATCACTGCCGGGTGTTCGTTCACACTAATCAGTTGTCTTATTAGATGCAAGCTTTCTAATCCCTTTATTGTGAATCCTAGCCAAAGACTCGTGCTCGGGTTGAGGAGGATTTGGCTCATTTGAAAGTGGAGGATGAGTTGGTCAGACGAAACTRTTCAGATGTGAACTTATTCAAAAACTTAAGGGCTGAACTCCAGCTGCAAACGAATCTGGAGAGAAATGTGTTGACCTTTTTTTCCCTACGTTGCCGTTTCTCTTTTTTTATTATCTGTATCTACAGTTGTGCTGCTAAAAAATAAAGGAAAAAAAAAAGGCTGCAAATTATTCACAGTGCTTGCTGAGTGACAGGTGGGTGTGAGGAGACACCTGGATGAAAGTCACCTAAATTAATCAACACATTTTAGTCACATTTGTTTGGTGTTTTAAGACACACCTGCCTGATGTTGTTGACTCAGAGCGACCACAACCAGATATTTATGGATCTAAATTCACTCCAAATCAAACATTAAAATTGGATTAAACACTCATATTTTTTAAACTAAATGATTTATAATTTTGAAACATTCAGTGTTGTCTGGTTGTCAGCTGACCCCAGAAG